GGGGAGGCTCGGCTCCCGCTCGCCCCTGCCCCGCAAGCGTTTTGAGCCGCCTCCTCGACAAAGGGGAGAGTGGGCGGACTCTTTCTTCGTGGTACAATCTCAAGGCAGAGGTGAAGGGGGGGGGGGCTGATCGCCTGTATTAATAGCCCTTTCTGCTACCCCGTCACTAGTAATGCGGTCTTAATTGTAGAATGTTTTAAATTGTTAGTTTTTAATGGTTTTCTTCATTGTACGCCGCCGAGTCACGCTCTGTTTAAATATGATAGATTGATTGATTAATTAATTAAAATAAACGTGTATAAAAAACAAACATAAAATACATAAAACTCACAGTCGAGGTAATCCCATTCCTCAGAACAATTAGTCCCCATGCCCATTGGTGAAACCACGTCCTAGGGCCTTGCGACTAAAAAGGGAACTACGGTTTTGTTCCTGCTCTTGGAAAGGAGCGATCTTCCCTGAGGGCAACATGCTGGTGCGTCTCTGCATTGACCGTTGTTGAACCATCTTATGCGCAAAGCTTTGGAATTTTCCATTCCTCAATCAAAAAATGGATAAGTGCACAAGGCCAGATTATGGAGAGAAGCAATGGAAGCCTTGTAAGGTTGCTTAAGACAAGTGTGGTCCTAGGACTCCTGGATGTCCCCCAAGGCCCTCTAAGGGATCTACAAAATCAAAATTATTTGCCAGCCTATGTTAAAAAATAATGCAGTATTAAAATCCCATCAAACAATCATGAGAAGTGGTAGCAGCAGTGAATGTATCAATTTTAATTTTTAATACAGTAAGTGACAAATATTACCCATACAAACATAACTTTTAAAAGTGGGAAGGGGTCCTGAGAGAAAAAAGTTTAAGAATCACTGGCTTAAGAAAATGGTGCACTGGGTTGAAAACTAGATTTGTGTGAATGTGCATCCTTCCCACTGATAATGAACCTGTTGATTTCTTGCTCATTGCTAGAGTATTGTTTCATTGCAAACATGTAGATCCTGCCCAAAATATAAAGAGAGGCTTACAACTACAAAATTAAATCAGCATCAAATTAAAAGAGAAAAATCATAGCCTCAAACTAAATAGCAGGTCAAACAGCATCCCTAAAAACAGAGTCTTGCAGCAGTTGTAAGAACAGATGTGTTACCTTTTTAAAGTCTATGAATCCACAAATTCCCTATGCTGAGATGAAGCCTGTTGAATTAATTTTGTTTTATTGTGAACTTGGCTTTAGTGAAGCTTATTTCCTTTATTTTGAATTTTCAGGTTTATGGACAAGAAGCTTTCATGTAAGTGAACTGATTGTTTTTAAGATTCTGTTTTGCAAGGAAAGAACTTGTCTGTTCACCTTGTCCAAATAGTTCCCTTAGGATGTCCTGTGCTCACTTCCCCTTATAGTCTTTATTCTTTGCATCTGTTTCAGTACATTTCCAAATATTGGTCTTTTAAACTCTAAATAAAGCAAACATATATGAGATGCAGATGTGTATTACTTTTTTATTGATTCACGTAATTCATGAATTCTTTAGTCTCCCTGTATCTGCTTAAGCAACCCATTTTTTCAGTCTTCGCATCATTAATAATTTCTTGCCTACTTAACTTTATTGTGGATCACAGACCCAGACCATATTAAAATATATACAATATGTAATTAAAAAATACAATATAGCATACATAATAAAAGACCTTTATTGCGTTTAGTCTCCTTTGCTGTCATCAGTGCATAAATTCTACAGGCTACAGATATAAATCTTGTGACAGAGTTATTTTGGGATCTGTATCTGTCAAGAGAAGTTGTACATAGAAGTAAAGATGTTTAGACATTTGTTTCTTATATTCTCTCCTTCATGCATAGAGCCGTAATGTTCTTCCTTCATCCCTGATACATAAGCAGCAAAAACAGGAAAGTTGGCGTGAACCCAGTAATGATTGTAGTGGAAAGGAAATAATGATGGATACAGGTTTGGGGGAGAAAGATACACATGAATTTCACGTGGTACCATAAATATTTATTTCTCCAAATACTGTGTGCATATTTAGCAGATGGCTGTAATTAGTCCTGAAGCTACTGATTTCTCATTCTATCCAGATGAGTAAATAGAGGTTTGGAGGTTCTTCTTATTTCTCATTAGTTTTCTAATTTTCTTCAGTAGAAGAAGAATGATTGCCATTATTAACATTAGCTCTTGATTGCAAAATGGAGCTGTGAATGGAGGTGGTAACTCATATTACTTTCCCACTCTTCCTAGTCCACTGTAACAGGTGTTCTTAGAGTGGTGATTGGTCATCCTACAGGAAGTATTTTCCCCTATCTGCAAACACCACTACCAAGTAGGGTGACAAATAGACAGCATACAAATCACTATAAATAAATTCAGAACAAATTGCAGCTGTATGATATTGATAAGTTAAGTTGGGAGAGGCTACAACATAGCCTCTGTTCCTGGACATGGGCTGCAGATTAATTGCATAAGTAGTTGCTACTGCTTCCTACTTTGTCTCTGGGAAAGTGGTCTTAATCAATTGTTTACAATTCTTTGTCCTTTGCATTGACTGTGTTAATGCTTCTGAAGAGGTGTTCTTAGAATAGATGCTTCAGTTCACCAAATAGAGGAGGGAAACTTCCATCTAAAAAACAGAGCAGGAAGAAGTCCACAAGTATTTGCACACTCAGACTTCTGGTGAGTGCCGTGGTGAACTGATGTCCCTAGAAGAGAGGGACGACATTACGGCTGAAAATGGCATCTAGAAGCTGGATCCAGACCACCAAAATCTCTCTGGAGAAAGAGAGCTCAAGATTACCCACACATACTCCACACAGCTGCTTTTTGTGGGTAAACAGCAGGAACCAACATTATTACGGTTGGCTTGCAAGTGGCTGGGAGATTTCATTGAGCTTATAGCCATTAATGTAGCTTTTATGGACTCAAGGCTCTACTGAGGCTCACCTTTATATTGATTTATAGAGAATGGGTGAGTTAGGAGATGGAGAGATGGTTTTATTTTAAGAGATGGTGATAAGCTGTTAATGTTGATTATTCTTGCTGGGGATGATGGAGGTTTTTTTTTTAATTTTTTTGCACTTTTTAATTTAGTTACACACACACACTATGTAGATTGTACTAGCTTTATCTGTATAACATAATCTTCAATAAAAATTAATATAAAAATATTTGCAGTCTCACTGAATATGGTCCATCTTGTGAGGAATGTCTCATTTTGCTGTTGAATTTCTCCTGCATGAAATAGCAAATGACATTCAGCTACTAGTGATGTCTCACACTTGCCTTTAGCTTGTTCTAAGTATATAAGTAGCTGTTAATAGTGAAGGAGATGCTGTCTACTGGGGCTTATTTGTTCACTGAATACAACTTTGTTTAAAAGAATTGTGATTTAATGAAAACTGTTTAAAGTCTTAACTGCTAATTACTTGCCTTAGTTTTAAAAGAAAGACTCTTCTAGCAAAATATATTGAGGGCATTTTAACTTGCTGTCTGTTCTTTGCAGTAAAACTAAATGGTGGTCGACATGTTCAAGGGATATTAAGAGGTTTTGATCCATTCATGAATTTGGTGATAGATGAGTGTGTGGAAATGGCACCTGGTGGACAACAGAACAACATAGGGATGGTGGTAAGCAAAAATGAATTAAGTTATAAGGATTGTAAACTGAAGGCTTGAAAAGAAAATGGCTGATTGTGAAAAATCCTCATTTAAAAGCCTTTATATGGGTTGGGATCAGACTGACCATAAGGATGAGTTATTCCCACGTGGATGTTTATAACAGCTGCTTTTCAGCTAGAGCGGGATTTTAAAAAAACAAACAACCCTCCATGTTAGCTGTCTTTAGCCATCTTGGAACTGGTTTAAATATTTTTCTTCAAATGTATGGTAGTGGTAATTATTTGTTTTGACTTCTAGGTAATACGAGGAAACAGCATCATTATGCTAGAAGCCTTGGAACGAGTATAAATGAAGTACTGGCTCTTACCACAATGTGGACATTTTTTATTATTATTGTAAGTTCTACAGGAGCATTCCATGTTTACTTTTTTAAAAAATAAATGGTTAAAATTGGTATAACTTGCTTCACAACCTTTGAAAAACTAATTCAGGATTATATGAAATTTGAAAAATTGACTTAAAATTCACCTACAGGAATGGAGCTGTGATATATTAGCGTTCCACATATTTTGCCTAATAACTAAGTGAGCAAAACAATTCTAAGCAATTTGAACGAAAAATGAACTTTTGCTGGCAATGGTGATACACCAACATTCTTGACCACTTGAGATCCTGCTTTATGACATATTGGTCTAACCTCCCATAACATAACCCTCTTTAGTTGTTTTGGTGTGACACCCTTCTAGAATTCCCAGCTGCAGTGTAAGAACTGCAGTACTCATTTCCCAATGAAAGCAATTCCCATTGAAACCAGTGCAGGTTCAAAGAAAAGATCATTTATTGGAAAGTAGTGTACAGCTCTAAAGCATAGCTGGAACTGAGTCCCATGCAGATCAAAACTTAATTTTACTTCACTCCCATTTCACCCCTACCCCTTCTGTCTTTGAATCTGTTCTGTGCATGTCGACAAAGTCCTCAGGCTCCCAGGTTGGTACGACCTTGGAAGTCCCGACCTTGGAAGTCCTGGGCGCCAGTTAACAATCCATCTAAACCTAACGGTTCACATTCCATTCCCCCCTCCCCCGTGATGGCAGAAACGAAGCAAGCAAGCAAACAGTGCTGGATTGTGAGGTTCTGACATGCAGATCCTTAGTCACACATTTGCAGGAAGGCACAATAGCACCACCAGAATCATTTTTTTTATTCCCACTTTAATAACAACATTAGAAAGCGTGCCTGGTCTGTTACCTGCAAGTTGCTACGCAGTCTTATGGCTAACAGTCATGGACGGACAGAATGAGCAGTCACCTCACGTATCAGTTCATAGAACCACGTGCCTTGCAGTAAATGTATTCAAAATAATTTTCCTACTGCTTTTAGGTGGCTTAAATCTTTATTACTTAATTGCTTTTGGAATAGCGTTAGTTGCCCCTTGCAGCAAGCGTTTCTCAAGTAAGGAGAACCCTCAACCCTTTTCTCTACAAGGCTCTAAATACACATGCTCCCCTTGGATGCTGAAACAGATTACTCACCTAAACAAAATGCACATAATGTGAGGCACAATTCATACTGGGACTGTAGTACAGTCAAGTAATAAACAATCCACGGGCTTAAGGCATCTGTTTACTTCTTCAAGAGTAATAAAAGGAAAGCTACTTGCTAGTACAATTTTCCCGGCTGCCTGAATAAGCATCAAAGGACACACAGGGATAATTTTGATTAACGCTACCCAAGTCTCCCTTTCAAGATACTTTTTATTTTTTCCTTTTCTCAAGCTATTGTCTTTTAATACAGAGTGTTTGGTAGGTGCTACTCTGTATGTGTTGAGTTTGTCAAAAGCAATTCTGAATGCCCTATTTCCTCTCCCCTCCAAAAAAGGAAGGGGTTATTCAGAACTAGTGCCCTACTGTAAATGCAGCCAGAACAGCTGAATTGATTTTTCCACTGGAAGCTTATAAAATACGAATTTGAAAGGGTATTACTTCAATTTTTTGAACAGCCCAATTAAAAGGTTCAAATCAAGCATATTCATTTTTTTTTCTGTACCATTCTCCAAACTTATGGCCTCCAGAATTGTAAAAATAACAACTTCCATACAAAGCTAATGAGTTGTTGGAGTTACTGTCTGGGAGACCAGCAAGTAAATGAAGTCTGTTGGTAACTTTATTCAGTGGTTTTAAGAAACACTGCTATGTAAAATACCTGAGTTGGCAACCCAAAGGCTTTATTCAAGGTTTTTCTTGTGCCCAAAATTACTTATAACAAATACATGATTTGTAAAAGAAATCCAGAAGATACAGTAGTTTTTAAATGGCTCCTGTGGCCAAGAATTCCCTCTAAAGTGGTTTCCTTGGAGTGGCAAAGTAAGTTCAACAGTGATGGTTGCAAACTGTTGTTTCTTACCTCACCAGAAGCATTTTGGTTCTTCCAGGAATGTTCTGAGCTTAAAACAGCCCTAGTTACTGCCAAATGGAGACATTTTAAGCTCAGCATTTTGGACTTGAAATGGAGCATTCCAAATTTCAGACATTTTGCACATTCATACTCAACATCCAAGATTTGTTGCAAGTTTCACGCACCCCTTGATGCCTCTCCCCGCTCCCCAATCATTGGCATGCCAATTCAAAGCTCTGTCTTGAGTCTCTCATGCAAATCCTCTTGATCAATCATATTCATCTTATTGTACCAGTGATGGTGAGCCAAGAGTGCAGCATTTTTGGCAGAAATTGCACTCATCTCCATGGCACTGGCTGTCCATTCTATAGCATTGAGGTAATAAATCTGGTCGTGGAGAATGAAAGGTGGGCACTTCTCAGGAGGGCTATAGTGTGGGTAGGCCAGCCATTTCCGTACTACCACCGAATCATAGGATGAGAAGAGCAGGTTCATTTGCTCTGTGGTCAGCAGCTGATTGGAGAACACTTTCCAGACAGGAGGGCTCAGGTTGCCTTTAACTGGAGAAACCATACCAATGCTGTCGATGAACATATGAGGATCCTCCATAGTGAAAATGTCCCCCAAGTTGAACTGAGAAGGATCCTGGTAGCCAAAAAAAGAAGCATTAATGCGCCCATGGACAAGTGTTGCTACCATCTGGTGGAAGGGAGCAGAGAACTCGGGAATCTGTGGATTGAAGTTGCGGAAAGTTATGTTAGCAATTTTCCGTTGCAAGGGAGTAGCGATGAGAAGGATGTCGTAGACATCTGATGTTACTCCAGACGTAGAATTGTAGGTAACCTCATATAGCTTCATCTGACCACCTTTAAAACAAACAAAATTAAAGCAGCAGTTTGATGTTACTATAATTTTTACTGCCTGAGATAGAGCACAGCCAGAGAGTTTTAGGGTATGTTTTCCAAACGTGTGGCCCAAGAAGAGAGAACAGGCCAGGCGTTTTTGTGCTGGCAAATTAGTTTTTTCAAAGAGCAGCAGAGTGCCAGCACTGCATGATTTCCATAGCTACTCTTTTTTTCCCCCTACATCCACACTCAGACACACCTTGTAAGAGCTTTCTCCTTGTTGTGGCCACCACTGATAGAATTGGTCCCAGGGGCATTTCGTTCTGATGTAGCCTCATTCCAAGGCAGCATGACCTGATTAGGTACCCTGCCTCTCACAATATCCCAAACTGGCAGATATTTATGGCAGAAGAGGGTTTTGCTGTTCAACCACTTAGTCTGTGATCTGAAAATCCTTCTGAACAATCCAGGATGGTTTGAAAGGAATGGGTGGAATCCCTCCAATGTTGTGTTTGGGGGACCGCAATATATACACTGAGTCTCAATCATCACAGAACTTCCTCTTCCCTGCAGTCTCTCCCAATCTAGGGCTGCTGCTGCTTCTCTTTAGATCTGGAAAGGGGCTTTCCATGACCAATGTGTTCATGGAATCTCTTGCTGCCCACTAGGCTGCCCCATCAAGCTTATGCTTGATTAAAAATCAATTTAAAAAAATGGGAAGCTTGCCTCTGCAAAGCACCAGCTTCCAGTACCCTCTCTTTCCCCAGTAATGGCACTGGACCCCCAATAGCTACGGGGTAGCTGCAGTTTGGTGCCTGCCTGCAGAGGAGAAAGATAGGTAAGGCTATTGGAGAACATGGAAGGGGAGGGGAGCTATAGTTTGGGGAATTTGGTTCTTGACAGCTTATGTCTCCAACAGAAGCCATTTGGTGAGAGCATCCTACAATATGTTCTCAAAATCACAAATGTACCCACTAGTCCAAAAAGGGTAGGGCCGTTGCCCTCTGGACATATGAAGACCTGCAAATGCCCAGACCTCCTCCTGATCGCCATATGTCCAGAGGGCAGTGGACATTTGCATTTGCTTGAAGCCAAACACTCCTTTCCAATTAGGAACCCTAATGAAACAGACTGTAAATACAAAATATTTTGATTATGTCTAAGCAAACATAAACCACTCCTGTTTCTGCTCAACCTCAGAAGATCTGGGGCTGAAGATCTGTTAGTTTACCCAAGGGCCACAGGAGCAAGACCCTTTCCCTGGATTTCTGTTCCGCCTCATGGATTCTCCTGCAGAGGCCTGTGACAGATCTCTTGCATCCATCAAAATTAAAGGAGGCTGCTGAAGTTCTAAGTTCTAACTAGACTGGACTGAGGAACACATTCAACCTGTCCTGGACCAAGACATGCTACCGCCCTACAATTCAGGTTTGCAGTTTGGGGTGCCTTCTGGAATTAGCCTTGAACTGATTACCTAAGTTTAGGCCACGGGCAGGAGGTCTGCCAGCTACAGCACTTGGCTAGTTAACATCTCGTTTGGACTACTGCGGTCTCCTGTGTGTGGGTCTGCCTTTGGAGAGGGTCCAGGGACTTAGAGGACACTGAGTGCCGTAGCAGGACTACTGACCGGGGGAGCAGAAGGAGCAAGGGGTTTCCTTGCTGTAGCCACTTAAAGGCTGACCCGTTCCGGACACAATCCTGACAATGATAAAAAGCTTCATATAACTTGGGAGCAGATTATTAAAAAGACCACCATCTCCTGCATAACCCAGCCTGGCTTTAAGACCCTCACAAGGGCTTTTCCTCAGTCCAGCTGCCATCAGAGGCACATCTGATGAGGCACATCTACGAGAGGAGAGATGACTGCCTTAGGCTCTGGAACTCTCTGCTAGATACCCAACCTTACTGCTTGAATTGTAATTACCAGAGCTGCCACTATCATCATCATCCTGCCACGAAAAATTGTTATTTTAGTACAGAATTTCAGCACAGCAATGCTACAAACTCTGGAAGTTGCAAAAATTGAGCTGACGGCCACATGGAGTTCAGGTACTTCAGTTTGGGGCAGGAATGGGAGTGGTTTGCCTCCCATTCCTATTCCTATCCTTGACATTTATTTAATTACAATCAATGACCAATCAGTATTCCCTTCCTTAACCCATCCCAAACTTTGAAAAAATGGGCAAAAACCTGTTCAGCCCTGACCCCTCCAGTGACATCACGTACCTAGAAGGCCTCCTGTGGTTCTCCAGGAGGCCAGAAGACAGTCGTGAGGAATGCATTCCTTTACAAGGTTGCTGATCTACGTTGGAAGAAGGCAGTCCATGCGCCCTCTTAAAGTTGTGGACTTTGACTCCCATCAGCTCCAGCACTTGTGACCAAAGGCAAGAATTGGGGAAGTGGTGGTCCCAAACTTGTGGAAGATAGCAGATTACCTGCTTGTTTTTAATCTTACACAACCTTCATACTTGATAGAATTATTTCATATTTTGCACCTGATGTTTTGCAAATGTGAAATAAATAAATAAAGATTAGGCAACCTCACCTGCATGTCCCTTTGACTTCATTTTTGCTTCTACAGAGATAACAGAGCCAGAAATCAGCTGGGCTTTGGAAGCGTACAGAAGGCCCGTGCACACCAATTTATTACCACCTTCCACCGACCAAAGTCCTGCACTTGCTCCAGCCAAAGATACAGCCCCTGCAGAGAAACAAAGTCCAGGAAGAAAATGGTCACACAAACCTAAACGAGACAGTAACTGAGGCCAGAATGATTCAGTAACAGGGTCAGACATAAAACTAAGCCAAAAATTAACAAATTGCATTATGGCTTTAGAAAATATATGAACCCAGCCACTGTAGTTAGTATACTTGCTTTATAACTTATGAGCAAATCAAAACACTATGGCTTATTGAGCAATGTTTAAAACCAACCATCATATAACATAATATGTGAAGCAGCTGTTATGCTCCATTTTCAACTGGTTCTGTAGTTTGTTAACTTCCAAGGAAGTGTTTTGGGGAGAATTCACTTCCCCCATTCATTGCTGTGCACAGGGAATTCCAGAAGCAGAAGTGTTGGAGAAAGTTTACTTCCCCAAATGTGTGCCTGAGGGTCTTGGTACATATTAAGAACTTGCAAGTGTCCCTTCAAGTAAACAAAATACACAGACATCATCTGCTTCCTAAACATATAATGTAACACATTTGTTAAAAGTCCTGAGATTCTTTTTAAGAAAATGAAACATTAAGATTTATATATCAAATAAATATTGGGCCTTCCTTCCAGTTACAGACTTTGACAACATAGGAGCTTTGGAGTGCAACAATTCTGTCAGCTGGGAAATACTGAGAGTTGAAGTCTCAATCCTACTGGCACCCACAAGGCAAAGATGGGCCAGTAGCATCACGTGTGTCATCCTAGAAATGATGCAAATTACAAAATCTGTGTTATTTACAAGATGTCCCAGCTCATGTAATATTACCAAAAACATCTGCGGCACCAATACATTCTGGAAACATTAGGTTCTGGGTACTTTGTGTTAGCAAGAAAAGAAAATACATCTAATGCTGGCAAAACGTAACAGTGAGAGTGTACAGTGTTTCAAGGCTAAAATGATCCAATTTCAATGGGGCCCCCCAGAGGGATCAGAAGTGCACACAGTTCTCCTAATGGTCTTGTTTGAAAGAGTCCTCTACAAACAAGCACGAGTTACCTACGAAGCCGTTGATGCTGGCACTTTGCCCATAGTTGACTCGCAAGACAGGGATTACCATCTCGTTGATGAAATTCTGAGAGAATCTGGCCTTTTGCAGGGACTCATCAATGGTCTGGTTCAGCATGTGAAGAAAATTTGCTCCTCCGAGAGCATGGAGCAAATTCTCAGGGCTGCTGAAGGCATAGTCGTGGGACTGGTACCGATAGATCCTGGACCCAAAGGGGGAGGGGAAAGAACAGACTTAAGACGGGGATCTCGCAACTGTGCAAAATACATCAAGAAGTGGGGCAACATAAACATAATGAACATTTGAACTATTCTGAGTTGATGTTCCTGCCTTGTTTTTGAAGAAAACAAAACCAGTGGTGCCATTTGCTGTCCTCATGATAAATAGCAAATAGCATCTTCAAGCTGGTGCAAAAAGTTGGGTTTAAACTTCCATTATCCCCCAGATGATGAAGACAGTTGGCACCCACCAGATTGGGGGTTTTATATTATTTCACCCAAATGTACTGAAAAGCACAGGAAGATAAATTAGAAACACACATACAGCATCTCAAATTGCTTTGTTAATTCTGCTGAGTGTTAGTTTTTTTTCTCCCTTGCTTCTGAAGGTAAACAGCAAGGAAATCCCTAGATGGAACCTCTTATTATACATGTTTTAATGCAGTGTTTCTCAACCTCAGCAATTTTAAGATGCATGGGCTTCAATTCCCAGCATGCTGGCTGGAGAATTCTGGGAGTTGAAATCCATACATCTTAAAGCTGCTGGGGTTGAGAAACACTGTTTTAATGTTCTTAGGAAGTGGCAACTAGATTTTATGTAATTGCTGGCTGCCAAACAAACTGGTTTCATTTGTAGGCCACCTCCTGTTTCATCTCTTGTTGCTCTGTCACTTAACTGCAGAGCTGATTTTGTACCTACCTGTTTCATTGAACACTCAGGTGTTAGTTATTTTGTGTTTTATCTGTTTGCTTTTAGAACCTGCTCAGGGTGACCACAGGCTATGTTTTGAGATCAAAGAGGTGAAGAGGCCCTTCAGTTGAGTTCAGCTCTTGGGGACTTCATAGCCCTGAAGCTACAAAGAAGATGGCCAGTGCCTTCTTCTGGATGTTCTTCCTGCTCCCCACTCTAGCCTATGGTCTTGGCCTCCCATTCAAGTATGAACCAGCCTTGACTGTGCTTAATTTCCAGATCTGGAGAAACTCAGCAAAAGAAGCTTTGATTTATTCTTTTTTTTAACTAAGCCACCCTGTGGTCCTCTTTACAATTAGGGTATGACAGAGGAACACAACAACTTTAGAGCGAAGCAATTTCTTTTTCTTTCCATGGCAGGGTGAGGCCTTGCTTCCAAAAATAGAAGGGCCGGGGAAAAGCAAAAAGCATTCCATCTCAATGTAATAAGCATTAAATGAATTAAGCTCTCCTAACATGATTAACCTCACACATCATGCCCCATTGATAAGAATTTGGGGAGGGAGCTCAGGAAAACCTTTGGTGCAGAGGCTGCACCAGTGATGCCACAACACCCCTGTCCCCCTGCAGCCTTTTGCTTTGTGTCTCTCCTTACCTCATAAACTTTTCCAGGACTTCCTCCACCCACATGTAGATTCTCAAGGGGTTCAGTCCATAATGCCAGAAAAGCTTCAAAAGATTCCAGATGTACCAGCTGCTCTCCTCAAAGACAAATTCCTCCCCATTGTAAATGCCCATGAGTCTACCTTGACTCTCAGCAACAGAAAGCCCTGCGGATTTAAACACAGGTGCCCACAGCTTGAGAAGGAGGGGAAAAAAACCAGTGCCCCAAATTTCTGAAATCCTCCCTGCGGCTCCTGGCCCTGAAGAACAACACACACTGGTCACTATTCATCCTTAAATGGAGGGGGAAGGAAAGAACCAGGTTGCCTGGTTGGGTATTACTTTGGGAAATATTAATTGTATGTTATTTCAAAATAATTATATTAAGACGTGGAACGAAATTAAGAAGGACATGTTAAGATGGCAGAAATTAAAACTGTCACTGTCGGGGAGAATTTCTGTGATAAAAATGAATATTTTGCCTAGAATGATGTTTTTGTTTCAGACAATACCTGTTTTGACAACTTAGATACCATTCAAGCAATGGCAAAATGATGTATCTAAATTTGTATGGCAAGGGAAAAAACCACAAGTTAAATACAGAATGTTACAAGATGCAAAGGAAAGAGGAGGACTGTGTTTACCGGATTTGAAATTGTATTTTGCAGCTTATTGTTTGATTTGAATGAAAGAATGGGTGTTGCTGAGAAACAAAAGACTTTTAGAGTTAGAAGCACACTACCTGAGGTTTGGATGGCATGGATACTTATGATAAAGTTAAAAGTAATGTGGATTTTGAAAACCACTTTATTAGACTTGCCATATTGCGAATATGGAATAGATGTAAACCCAGGCTGTGCATAAAAACACCTCTATGGATCTCAACACAAGAAGCATTTTACAGAAGAGAAACAACAGGCAAAGGCAAATAGCTAATGTTTCAGGAATTACTGGAGAATCACCAAGGGGAATATAAAATTAAATCAAGAGAGCAACTAAGGGCAGAAGGATATAGTTGTCAAAGGTTTTCCTATTTACAGCTATCAGGAAGACTTGAAATGGATAAAAAGTCTTTTGTTAAGGAGCAAAGACAGACAGAATTTGAAGTACCATTGTGTATAGATGATGAACATGTAATTGCTAAAACGTATAAACTTTTATTGAAATTTGAAATGGAACAACAGGTTAAAGAATGTATGATAAAGTGGGCTAAGAGTTTTGGTTATAATATATAGATGGATCAATGGGAAAATACATGGTCAAAAGGGTTGAAATTTACATTACGTTATGATCTTAAAGAGAACTTTTATAAAATGATTTTTATAAAAACATTGGTAGATGATGCCAGAGCAATTATCTGGAAATGTTCAGTTTTTGTGATAAATCCTGCTGGAAAAGTGTCAGGCACAGGAGCTGTCACGCTCGACTCTGCATCTTAGCGCAAACGCTGTTGGTGTCCTGAGCCTGTATCACTCCATGCGCTGCCCACTTTAGAGGTCGCACACAGCACCATTCACATACAATAGGCAAAACAAATAAACCCTTCCTCTGAGCGTGAAGGGCAGAGAAAGAGGCCTGATCGGGGCCGCCGTGCCACCAAGCACCCAAAGTACACCCTTGTATTGCCTCCGAGAGAAACCCCTTGTTGGTCCCGGAGGAAGGAGAAAGGAAATCGCCCCCCCTCGGAACGGGAGCGAGAAGGGAGAAGAGCGAAAACGACTCACCCAGTTCTTTGACAAAATGCTTCATGTGCAGGTTAAGGGGATGGATGATGGATCCTCCAGCCTCAAACTCTTTCCCTTCCAGCTTGACGGTGGCCAGGCGCCCCCCCACCTCTCCTCTCTCAAAGACGTCAATCTGGACGCCTTTACCAAACTTCTGGCGAAGGAAATAAGCGGCAGAGGTGCCCCCAATGCCAGCTCCGATCACACCTGCAAGGAGGGTGTCGCGTTACTTCCTTCCCCCAGGACCGGACCGGACCGGAGCGCCTCCCCCGGCGGGCCCTCCTAACCCGGGCTGGACGTGCCCTCCCGGCATTCCTGGCCGGGGTCCACTGGGAAGCCGGGAGCGCTGCCGCCCTCCCTGCACCCCTGGATGTTCGGGGCACCCTTCGTGATGGGGCAACGCCAACGTGAGGGCTCAGCAGGCTGCCCAACCC